AGACATCGCACTGGGACGATTTGCTGTAACATCCAAGATACCCGTTGAATTGGAATCGATGAAGTATCCGTTATTTCGATCCTGGTTAGCTAACAACACTAATTGGGCAGCGGCATAAACAACTTCTGGATCAAATTTTGCTTGTTCCAAGGCACTTTCTACTAAAGCTTTGATATCAAGAACCGTAACCTCCGACCTATCTGTTGGATAAGTATAAGTGGATACATCATTTTTATCAAAACCAAATGGTTGTGGGTCTTGTCTTATTTGTTTTTGCAACGGTGGCAACTGCTGTTGCAAAGAAGGGGCCGGTGGTTGTTCTTGAAAGGTTGCCTTTGAAGTTGTTAAGGTTGTCGAAGCCGTTGTAGAAGCTTTTACAGAATATGTAGATATGGGAAGTCGACTTGTGGAATCACTACCGTTTCTTTCGTTTACGGTCTCCATAATGAATATAAAAGTTCTTGTATTATTCGTTTCAAATAGTTACGGAAAAAAGCAGTTGTCAGAAATTTTTTTTTTTTATTTATCGTTTTATCGTTAAAACTGCTTAATTGAAGACCTTGGGCCAAATTAATGAGCAAAATGAACCAGTGCTAAAGAGTTGCTAAAAGAATCGTCACCCTATATATATATATATATATATATTTATATATATTTATATATGTATATATATCTATACATATACATATATATATATATTTGATGCTGATTCAATTTTCATACGTATGATGAATCTAACTGCCAGGGCAGTGCAATGAATTATGCAGATCGAATAGTCACGTGCGTGATACACGACCTTAATGTTAAAGTAATTCATCTGATTATTGTTTCAACACATGGAAAGAGTGTCATTGCAGTGCATCAACGCCAATTTCTAAATTCCAACATTCTGGCTTATCTATGCTATTTATCGCACCTAACGCACCTATTATATAATTACAATCTGATTTTCATTGCTACAGGTTGTACTTAGCTTAAACAAGTTTGAGCTCGTAAAACCTGTATCTTCATTAGAAGTACATTTATGGAAAGTAATCTGAAGATTCATAGGATGACATTCATCTGATTGGCTGATTTATGTCGACCTAAACGTGACTGTTGACCAATCAAATCAATCAAATAAATTCAATATGCGAGTAAGTTAAGAGAAACTTTCTATTTATTATTGTTTTTGAATTAAGAAGTAAATTCTATTCTATTTTTCAGTCTTCGCATCTTTACTAGTAACATTATATTACTACTTTTATATATATGATTAATTACATAATGCATACATTCCTGCCTACCCGTTTAACGAATTAACGCCTGCAGTATACATAATATTCAATTAATACAAGTGCAAGATTAAGATCATTCTTATATGATCAATTAAACAATATATATGTTATTCTTTAAAATCACACACTTGAACACCTTAAATCGTCTTTGTAACAAGTTATTTTTGATATTCCAACATATAAATTTATATAGCTAGTATAGCTACGTAACAATAATCAAATAAATAGTAAGGTAGCACTGTTTTGGGATTATTTTAAGATTATTTCGGGATTATTTTTGGTATTATTTTGCATAGTAAATATTAACTTCCTACGAAACGAAAGATAATCAAGGGTTGAGTTTGTTAGTAAAATAGGTGAAACGTTACATTTTCAAAAAATACTTTAACTGTATAAATTAGTTACTCGGGCAATTAATGCCCCAGTAGGAGGATCGCCAATCAAGTCTCTGAATAATCAATGGCAATAAGATTTTCAGGAAAATCACGATTTTTTGAAAGAAATACCAGTAACTCAAAATTTTGCCTATAAAACGGCCTCTGCGCTCTAAGAAACAAAAAATTCTTTATTCAATTTTACCTTACCTCTAACTAATTTATTGAATCTGATTGGAGTTTATCATGCGAATAGATCTGATTTTCCTTCACGCGTTTAGACATGATCTTGATTATATTTTCTTTCTTCAATTTCACTTTCTCCTATGTTTTGTTTACATTCCGGTTCTTAAACGTCACAAACGACCATCATCTGCCCATTAATGAAGGTACGTTTTTGGGTTCTTAAAAAAATCAAAGTTTCTTCTCTTATATCTTTATTTATTTATGATACATTATTATTTAGATAATACCTTGTTAAAGTTACCTATATTTGAGACAAAAAAAAAGATCAGTATTATGTTTGGGGAACGACTCTCGGGAACATTAATGTTAGAAAGAGTAGGGTTGTTAATGGGTTGGGTAGGGTTGATCCAATCTTCAACCCACTCCATTTAATTAGACTTGCATCAGATTCTACTCCAGATTGTTTTAAACCCACTCCAACTTGGATTGGGTTCAACCCGAAGTGGCTTCAGAATAAGGATTGAAATCGATCAAAAGTTTTTTAAGTCAATTAGTTGACAAAACTACTACGTATAACTGACTAAACATTCGACTAATTAGTCGATCAGTCAACTCATCGACTAACTACGTAGTCTAACTAATCTAACTAATCTAACTAATCAAATTTGTCTATATAACTCATGTACGTATGTACGTAATTACATAATATATATATATAATATATATATATAAACCTTTTTAGTCGATTAGTCGATTAATTGATCGACTGATTGTTAGTGCTTATAAATCCATCGGATTTTATAGTCGATTATCCTTAATTGAAATAACAACTAATCTTGACTTGATACGTGTTTTTAAGTCTTTATTCTTTGCCTAAGTACCAGCTTCTAACGAAAGAAATGCTTGGCGGAACAAAGAATGGGCTGCGTGATAAAGTCATACAATATTTGACTAGTATTTAACTAGTGTTTATTAGACCTTTTTTTTTCTTTCTAGTATATAATAGATTATCGTCCTACCATAGGTGCCTTTTATCGTTACTTTCTTTTTTGGATAGCCTTCTCGGTTTTGGAATTGAAAATTTGGCAAAGAATATTATCGTTATGTTTAATTAATATAATTGGATTAGCCTAAAAAACTATAGATTTTTTCGACTTGTTGGTTTTTATTTGATAATACGTGGTACTTTTTATTTCTACGTATACCTTATGTAAAATTTTAATAATAAAAGATATGTGTTTAAATATCTAATTATGACTTCTTAATTGACTTGAATGCCTTAAATGCCGGCGATAAAAAATTATTGTCGTGATGCTAAAATTTGGATCTATTTAATGTGCGATTTTTTAAAAATTTTGGGGCTTTTTTTTTGAGGGTTAAGGGTTAGAATATACATGCCATAGAAACCATTTCGGCATAGTTTCTACCCATGTTTGGCATTCGGCATTACCTAAAACCGAAATTTATGCCAAAACTAATACGTACGTAGCCAATACCTAAAGCCAAAAAGTCTAATGCTAAAATATAGCCAAATTAATTACATTATTATATATAAAAGCACTGTATCATTCGTTATATCAGTTAAATAAATTATAAAATTTATAAAAGTATTATTCTTTTTTTTTTTTTTTTAATCTTCAAAGGTGATAAAAGTATTATTCGTTATATCAGTCAAATAGATTTATATAAAAAGTACTGTTACCAATTATTAAATTAAAAAGTCAGTAAATTAAAAAATACTGTTACCAATTATTAAATTAAAAAGTCAGTAAATTAAAAAATACCTACATTACTTTAAAATTCTTTAATTCAAACTATGAATTCAGCTTCATCAGCTTCATCAAACTTTATTACTTCTTCACAAGGTGGAAGACCCTCAAAAGAAGTATAAAAT